CACACGGACGGACGGTCAGACGGACAAACTCAGGAACTCATGGACGGTCGGGGACATGTATCCTAACATGTATGATCTATGTAGTAAATTTGAATGAAAACTGACAAAGCATGTCCAAAATACGACATTTTCAAAAAACAAGATGGCTGCCAGTCAGCCATCTTTGATCCAATTGTGAAATAAATCATCATGGACATGTATCCTAACATGTATAATCTATGTACCAAGTTTGAATGAAAACTGACAAAGCATGTCCAAAATACAACATTTTCAAAAAACAAGATGGCTGTCAGTCGGCGATTTTGAATCGAATCGCTAAACCACTGCATGTGCATATGTCCCACATAAGGTACTAGGCACATGCAAAGAATGAACGGAATCAGTCGACAGGATTCTGAAATATGACGTTGGATAGACTGACGCACGGACGCACGGACACACGGACAGTCGGACAGTCGGACAGTCGGACAGACAGACTCAGGAACTCACGGACGGTCGGGGACATGTATCCTAACATGTATGATCTATGTAGTAAATTTGAATGAAAACTGTCAAAGCATGTCCAAAATACGACATTTTCAAAAAACAAGATGGCTGCCAGTCGGCCATCTTTGATCCAATTGTGAAATAAATCATCATGGACATGTATCCTAACATGTATAATCTATGTACCAAGTTTGAATGAAAACTGACAAAGCATGTCCAAAATACAACATTTTCAAAAAACAAGATGGCTGCCAGTCGGCCATTTTGAATCGAATCGCTAAACCACTGCATGTGCATATGTCCCACATAAAGTACTAGGCACATGCAAAGAATGAACGGAATCGGTCCAAGGGACTCTGAGATATGACTCCGGACGAACGCACGAACGCACGGAGACCGAATTATAAGTCCCCGTTTTCGGACTTCGTCCGAACGGGGACTAATAAGGGTTAATAGCAAAGTAACAATACTGCAAACAATATTCTCAGAATTATTGCAGTTTTCATGTGTTTTTTGCACCAAAATATATTTTGATTGAACCATACCTCTGTTAGGATATCAGCAGGCACACCACTAGCCATTAGTATTGCAGAGAGTTGCTGTAATAAACCACACGTATGCATGACTTTCTGACATGCAGACGTAGCTTGTTGAGGATTACTTGGTGAAACCAGCGTTCTAATCACTTGTTGCATTAGATGAAGGTTTGTAACTTT